TGAACTGATTGGATTTGGCCTCATCTTTAAAAAGGCTTCTGGGTCTTTGGGCATGTGGCCCTCAGGCCTAGTTTTTTATGGATCTCTCAAATAAAACAAGCTTGGAAACAGGACTGGCATCCACTTCTAAAAAAAAGCTTGCCTCTGGAAACTCTAGTACTTGGAGAAAAGATGAAAGTTTTGTGTTCAAGACTTTCATTCATAGTGTCACTATGGGTAATCTACAGCTCTACAGTACTTAACAACAACAACTACAACAAGAAGGAGGGAAAGAAGGAAAAGAGAGGAGAGAGGGAGGGAGGGAGGCCAGGAGAGAGGGAGAGAGAGACTGAGAGAGCTATACTATTACCTAGGAATGCTGATGGCAAAGTAGGTTAATTGTTGGGCTGTTAACTAAAAAATTAGTAGTTCAAACCCACCAATTATTCTGTGGAGGAAAGATGAGCAGTGTCTTCCAACTAGGATATATTCCTTCAGAAATCCAGTATAGAGTTGCTCTGAGTTGAAATTGACTTGATGTAGTAGTTTTGGTTTGAGGACTGTCTAATACTCTTAACTAGGAGCCCTGGTGATGTAGCAATCAAAGAATATGGCTATTAATAGAAGAAGCAGGAGTTCAAACTCAGCAGCCACTCCAATGGAGAAAGATGAAATAGTAAAGATTTATAACCGTGGAAATATTTGGGTTAGTTCTACTTAACCTATATGGTCATTAGGAGTCAAAATTTACTTGACACTAGTGGGCCCGATTTTATAATATACTACTGTCAGCAGCAATATCCCCCGTTCCACTCTTAACTCAATGCCACCTAACAACAACCCAATGTGCTGTACATAAGAATTTCATTCTCTGGAGAATCTTGTTAAGTAGTTTCTTTCATGCACTCCTACTTAATTTGAAAACCAAGATTAAATCAGATAAATGGTCCTATGCCTCACGTAGTCTTAAGATTTACCCTTTTCCCCCCATTGCTACAAATACACACACACACACACACATTCAATTGTTTATTCTGGAATTTACCTTCTTAATTTTCCCATCAAAGATGAATCTCTGTCTCTCAAGAGAGAGACTCTCTAGGGTATATAACTTTCAGAATTTCAACCAGCAGCAACTCATTCACTTAGACCCTAGTTCCTTTGCCATTTTAATCCCAAATTCTTTCCAACAGCTGTTGAGCAGCTGTCTGGAAGACCCCTGATTCTGCACAAGTTTCTTCCTACTGCCAAGAAGACAAGGCTGAGAAACATCTGTAAGGAAGAAGTGTGTCATGTCCTAGACCTACATCCCTTCCCTCCAGCCTCTACTTTTCCCAAAGTCTCCAGTGTCCTCATTGCTTCCCAGAGCCCTAACTAATTGCTTCTACCTGCACTAACTTTTTTATCCTCAAAGATTACATGACTTATGTCCCCTTTACTCATAAAACCTTGTCTCCAGTAATAAGATAGTGAATGTAAAGAGATAACATGTTATCCCACCCAAGAGCACTCTTTGTTGGAGTAGTTTAAGAAAGTTCTTCCATCCCACTGCCCCTTGCTCCCCTCACTACATTTTAATGAACACTTCCATACTTCAATGCCTTTTGTTTATTCTGTTCCCTCCCTTTCTTTCCCAGTTAAATCAAACAAATCCTCTGCCATCAAGTTGATTCAGACAGAACAGCTTTTTAGAAATTTTTGTTGTTGTTGTTGTTGTTAGATGCCATTGAGTTGAGTACAACTCATAGTGACACTCTGAACAGCAATCTCAACCCTGTCCTGTCCTTCACCATCCTCATCGTCTCTGACATACTTGAGTCCACTGCTGCAGTCACTGTGTCAGTCTAGATCATTGGAAGTCTTCCTGTCTTTCTGTGACCCTCCATGTTTGCAAGCATGATGTCCCTTTCCAGGGAGTAGCCTTTCCTAACAACATGCCTAAAGTATGTGAGATGAAGCTTCACCATCCTTGCCTCCAAGGCGCACTCTGACTTACTCCAGGACTTACCTGTTTGTTCTCTTGGCAGTCCTTGGGATGGATATTCAGTACTCTTTTCCAACACCAATGCTCAAAGGCATCAGTTCTTCTTTTATCCTTATTCATTGTCCAGCTCTCAGATGAATACTAAGAAATTGAGAAGACCATGAGACTAAATTTTATGGAAGAGACTGCCTCATTTTTCTCCTAAGAACTGACTGGTTAGCAATTCATTGCCTAATCTACTGCGCTACCAGGGCTTCTGTTCTCCCTATTGTTATTTCTTCTATGTTTACCCATCTTTCAAGGTGGCTAAAATCACCTCTACCTTGAAGTCTACCATGATTAGTAAGAGCAAGCATTCCCTCCTCTTAGGGATTCTATTGAGCACGGTCTGTGAGCATCTATGCCACAGTGTATGGAGTCATTCTATAGACACATTTGACTTCCCCTTTGTGGTCTGTGCAGGGTAGCAGATAAGGACATTTATCTTCTTAATTCCAACAGACTTCATCCACTATATAAGGTAGAATAGGGTGCTATATATTTGGTTTGGTAACCAGATGTTGGCATTGTAACTCCTCTAACTGCCAGACAAAGCTGAGCAGTGGATTTGATCTGTGAGCCTTTGCAATTGCAGCACAGCTTCTTACCACTTGGCCACCAGAACACTTGTAAAGATGGTTATGACAAGGAGTTTGGTTTGATTTGGATTTAGAAGGGATTTGCTAACATCATTCATTCACTCAGAGAAGAGATGGGAATGTTAGAGAAATTGCCACATCCCATCCCAGATCTGCTCTGTCCCTGCTGGACTAACCTGAACCTGAGCTGTCTTTGGATTGCCCTGCATTATTGTTCAGGCCCCATGGCTGCTGACTGGGGCATTGCTTTTCCCAAAACTCTGACTTTTTCCCACAAAACACTTCCCAGAATTAACACTCAACATGCTGGTCTTTCCAGTCACCTGTGTAAATGATGCTTCTGTGCTGCGTGGCGAGGAATAACAATAAGTTAATTACGGAGACACAACTTTTCTGATCAATTCAGTGTTCTCCTCCTATCCACTTAACCTCTGTGATTTCTTTTATTTGTTTTTATGTATCAATGGTACACAGCAACAATCTGACTCAAGATGTAGGACAAATTAATTTGTTCTTTATGGATAAACCTAGAAAGGAACTGGAAAGCAAAGAGATGGATTCAATTCAGCCAGTTTTGTTTTCCTTTCTTTGTGATATTGTAATTTAAGTTCCATTCCTATTTACAAAATGGGAAAGAAAACAACTTTTGTAGTTAGGAAAGATTTTTAAACTTGTGAACTTTTTTTTCTTATTAATAAGCCCTATTTTTCCTATAAATATCACCAAGATTTCCATATATTTGAAGTATTTTTATGGCTTATCATATAATTAAGGAAAATAATCAGGAGCCTTGAAAGAAGTTCAAGACTCTGGAAACTCCTCCAATTGTAGGAAAAACTTGAAATGAGCAATATGAGATGCAGCGGCTCAGAGTAGGGTGGCAACTGATTTTTCCACCTCAAGGCAAGCCACACTTTAGTATATCACTCAGTCTGGGTTACACCATTACCCTTCTCAGTTGGTTCTACCAGCCATTGGGGGAATACTCAAGTTCATTCACTCAATTTTCCCTGTTACTATCTATAGTTTAAGGATTGATTCTCTACAGTGTTTATAAACAAAGCAAACATCTGTAACCTGCCTAAACCTCTAATCTTTCATCTACAAAATAGAGATAATTAAGAAACTACCCTAAAATTCATGGTCTTTGCAATCACTTTCTATGTGACTAGGGATGATAGAAGGAGAATTGACGCCTTTGAGCTGTGTTGCTGGAGAAGAGTATTCAATATACCATGGACTGCTAAGAAAACAAACAGATTCATCCTAGAGAGGGTTAAACCAGGCTGATTCTTGGAGGCAAGGATTCTGAAGCTTTGTCTCACATACTTTGGACATGTTGCAAGGAGGGACTAATCCTTGGAGAGGGGTGCTTGGGAGGTTGCCATGCTTGGGAGGGTAGAAGGACAGCATAGGAGAGTAAGACCTTCTATGAGGTGAATTGATCCAGTGACTGGGGTGATCAGGGTAGGTGTGTCAGAGTCAGTGAGATTGGCACAGGATAGAGTAGGGCTTAGGGCTGTTGTACATAGGATCACTATGAGTTACAGGCAACTTGACGGCACATAACAACAACAACAACTCTGTCATGACTTCATTTAGGGGTTGGCAAGTCATATTCAATTAATTTTATTATTTTATTATTGCTGAAGTGTCATATGTCCCCCTAAAGTTCTTCAGTTACTGATACTGTTGTCTGTAGCCATGATATTTCCTGAAAAGGGTAACACTAAAATACTCTCTCATAGAATATTCATTACTATTACGTGGTATTGAGTTGACTTCTACTCATAACAACCCTATAAGCAACAGGCAAAAACTTTGGCCTATCATATTGCACACCATAATCATCACAATCTTCACCATCACATCTTCATGCTCAAGCACAGTGTCAGACATTGTGTCAGCCCATCTCCTTGAAGGCCTTCCTCTCTTTCTCTACCCTTCTATGATTTTAAGCATGATGCCTTCTTCTAGGGATTGACACTGCTGACATGCTCAAAGTATATAAGACCACATGTACTTTGGACATGTAAATTTCACCATCCTTGCCTTGAAGGAGCATCTCAATTTTACCTCCTCCAAGACAGATTTCTTTGTTCTTTTGGCAATTCATGGTACATCCAGCACTGTTTGCCAACAACACAAGTCAAAAGCATCAGTTCTTTGGACTACCTTACTCGCTGCCCTGCTTTCACATGCATTCAGAACAACTTAAAACACCATGGCTTGGGTTATATGCACCTTAGTTTGACATCTGTGCTCTTTAGCACTTTCAAAAGGTTTTCAGAATATTTACTACAATTTATTAAATCTATCAAACACCTCATTTTTCTCTTAACTTATGGCATAACATTTGGGAACAATTCATCCTTTTTTTTTCCCACTCTGCATTTCAGGAGAACTCAGAAATGGACTCATGAATGGAAAGAATGCCCAGATTATGTCTCTGCTGGAGAAAACAGCTGTTACTTTAATTCATCTTATACTTCCGTTTGGACACCCTACTGTATCAAGCTAATTAACAATGGTAGTACGGTGGATCAAAAATGTTTCTCTATTGATGAAATAGGTAAATCAAAGGTTTGTGTTTTACTTAGCATGACTTTAGAGTAAATAAACCTATAATATTCAGAGGTTATCTAATGGGAAGACCTTGTAATAGTAGCTATGTAGGGGAGATAAGATAAGTTGATGAGCAACAGGAAAAGGACAAGGAATACAACAAAAATAAAGAAACGTGGCAATAACTATTGTAAAGAACAGAATGAAAGCATTGCAGTCTCTTCCTGTCAGAGCCTTCACAGGACAAACTCAATGAACTTTGAAAATCTCTTTCTAATTATTCAATATTATTATTCTATTCCGATTGACTGCAATATATTAGCTACCGCCCTCTTCTGTGATTACAAAAAAAAAAAAAAAAGCTTAAATTGTCTTGATCACCAAGTATAATAATTCTGGAATTTCACATTTACAAAACAGCCAGAATCAGTTGAAAACCATGTTTAAAAGATCCCAAGACAAACATTGGAGATAATCAGTTCAATGAACTGAGTTAAAGATACAAACAAATTATCTCTTATCCATCATTCAGAAGAAGGGAGGAAATAAATAAAACACAACAAACAAATATAATTGCACTATTTGTGTTCAAACTATTACAGTATAAACAATAAAATGGAGATAAACAAAAAAGGACTTTGAGTAGCTGAAATTGGTGCCTCGAGATCTACCCACCAAAGCTCATTTGCTGCTTAGAGGATTCCTTAAAGCTCCCCTCACATGTGCTGTCCTCACATGTTTCCCAGGCCTCAGCCAACTCAGAGAGCCTAGGAGAATGTGGCTGGATGCTGAAGACAGAAACAAGTAATATCTGACAACTGACTTCAATAGAGGAGATACAGAAAACTGTAATAAGCAGAAAATAGAACCAGATTGCTTACCTTTGAGAGACTAGTATATGCTCTGAACATGCAGAAATTGTCTCTATGGAGTTATTGGGATGGAGAGGAGGTGGTTGTTGGTGGTGGTTTTTCATCTTCATCCATCCCATTAGTGGTGGGATGAATCAATACTCTGAAGAGAAATAAGATGTAAAGGAGAATAGGAGTGTAGCAAGGGTAGCAATTTGAAATAGTTATCAGGATTGGCTTCATTGAGTAACAAAAAGAAGGAAGAGTGAGAGCAATTATATATCTGTCTGTAAAAGGGTATTGTAGCAAGAGGGAATAGCAAGGGTAGTGGTGCTGAGGCAGGAGCATGCCTCACACAGGCAAGGAAGAACAAAAAGGGACTGGCACAGCAGAACAAAGAGGAGAGTGGTAAGGGGTCAGATATCAGAGATGTGACCCAAATCTATAGGCCTACTGTGGCCATTGTCATGAATTTGGCTTTCACTGGAGTAAGGCAGGAAGCTTTTGGAGAGTTGTACATGAGAATTTATATAATCTAAAATATTCACTGAGAACTCCCTAAAGGAAACAAAGGCCCAAGGTAGGAAGCTAATCAAAGAATAAATACAAGTGGGGTTCAGCTCATTAAGGGGTTCAGGCAATGAGAGGAGGCTGGATTGTGATTCCATCTTGACAGTACAACAGACAGAATATGGGGTGATAAGAAAAAAGATGAGTGAGAGCTCGGCATTTCAAGTTTTAGCAACTAAAATGAAAGCATTGTCATTAATGGATTTAGAAAGCTAGAGAGGAACAGGTTTTGAAGGCAAGATCAGGAACTTGTTTTGGATTCTATTAAGCTGCCCTCAGGTTGACTCAGCAATTCTGGTAAATCACCACCTGTAGCAGAATCATCACCCGTACTAGCCACCCCGGAGGAAATCGCTGAGATGCAAAGGAAAAATGAGCTGAAACTCAAGATAAAGGAAGAACATCTTGCTGCTTTGCAGTTTGAAGGCTGCAGCACTTCCATGATACATCTTCAAGGATATGAGCATGTACGGCTGGGCACGGTTGATGGCAGTGCATCTAAATTCCAAAATCAATCTCCATAATAGTCTATGTGTTTCCTACAGCCAAAGGGGCCCTTTAGAGTAGTGAGAGAAGATCTTCACCCTGAAACCCACAGCGTCCCTTTTCAGCAGGAAGTAGCTAAGAGAATGCGCCATCCCCTTTTCCTTATGAATCAGGGTGAAGTCTCTCTCAGGGAGGAGAGATAGGGAATGGCAAGGGACACTCTGACAAGGGAGATTGATCAGAACTGGCTTTGGCGGGCACTGTGGCAATTGGACAATTAAAACAGACATGGGGGGGAGGGAGGAACGGACTGGGGAGGAGGGTGGAGAAAGCCGTGCAACAATGAATGAATGAAAACCCAAAATCTCTGTAAATGTTCATTAAAACTAATAAAATTTAATAAAAATTAAACAAAAAATTAAAAAAAAGAAAGGTAAAGGGATGGTGAAGGAGAAGAAGACCTGGAACCAACCAGATGGATTGACACAATGACTGTATCAATGGGCTCTAGTATGTCAGGAAGTGTGAGGATGGCACTAGATAGGACAGAGTTCAGATCTGTTGTTCACGTGATCACAATGAATCCTATTCAATTTTCCGATAGATACATAACAACAATGTAAAAAAAAATGGTGTCCACTTGTGACTCCACGGTGAGATCTTTATCACTCTGCGTAACAGATTACTTCTTTGGCCACCAGACTCTGACAGCCCCTTAAGAGCTCTTCACAGCATATATATGTCTTTATTGTATATATTGTAGCCTCATCTTTGATCAGTCTTGAGGATCTAGACTTGCAATAGTTTAAGGGATCTTCTACATTGAGCTGAAAAGAAAGTTAACTATATCTGCAAGTGATTTCCAAACCTTTCAGAACTGAGATATGAATAATAATAATTTATTAGGGACCATCCAGAATATAAATTGAGATATGGTTCTTAGCATCAGATAAATTTGTATTTCTCTTCATCAGCTTAGGCAACTGTGACCTTTAAAATCTTAATAGACACCATGCAAGCAAGGAATTTTCCTGAGAATCTATAGTAGAGCTAAAGCCAAACAGTATTTCAAACTATTCACCAGGCAATCAAGTGAAAGAAAACACTGAAATAACACCAGGAGAATATTATGATGCCTTCCTTCTTATATCTGAAAAAATGATCGCATATGTCTAGGAAGACTACAAGGCTAAGGAATATTTGCTGGACATTCAGATGATTGTATTAGTGACAGTATAGAGATGAATAAGACAGAGACACTATAGAGATAAATAAGACTAGTGACCATATAGAGTTGAGCAAGACTCAGTCTTGCTCCTGATATATATAGTTTAGTTTAGAAAGGGCACTGTAGGTGGAAGTGTAAAATGGTGCAACCACTGTGGAAGGCGGTATGGCACATTCTCAAAAAGTGGCAAATAGAAATGCCATTTGACCTAGCAATTCCACTATTAAGAATATACCCTAAAGAAACCATAACAGCCACCCAAGCAGATATAAGCACACCCATGTTCATTGCTGCTTTGTTCAAAATAACAGAGTTGGAAACAACCTAAGTGTCCATCAACAAACGAATGGATAGAGAAGCTGTGATATATTCACACTATGGAATACTATACTGCATTGAAAAATAAGGAACTCATGCAATATTATTCAAAATGGGTGACCCTGGAGGACATTATGCTGGGTGAAGTAGCTCAGTCACAAAAGGACAAATACTGCTGGGGAGAGACTGAGAAAGATGGGTTAAATAATGTATATATACTGCATTGAAACAGATGAGGGAGAAAACGGTTTAAAATGGATATGTGATTAGGTATTTTTGTCATGACGGGAGTCCAGAGCGAAGGCTGCATAGTGGAGTGGACCCGGGATGAGGGATTGTAAAACAGTGAAAGAATACTTCTTTTACTTTTCCAAGAGAGTAGTGTACTGGGGGGTGGGAGGGGGGAACGTGCAACAGTGAATGAATGGAAATCCAAAGTCTCTATAAATTTTCATTGAAATTAACAATAAATTTTAAAAAAGAAAGGGGAGATTTCAGCTTCTAATTCCAAAAGTCAAACAACAGTTCAAAATACCTACTTCTTAAATGCTTCTTTGTTTTTGAGCCAAAATGCTATGACAGAATTCCAAAACACTAAATTCCAAAACACTAAATTCTATGACAGAATTCCAAAACACTAATATTATCATAACTTTAAAAAATGTAAAACTTGTAAAATCTAGAAATATTATAGATCAGGCTTTACCCTTGAAAAGTATATTTTTGCAGGGCATTTCTTAAGTTAAATGTAGACTGCCCATAAGTGAAAAATAATACTGTAATAAAAGGAATTCTAATAGTAGAAATATTAGAAGAATTTAGAGAATGATCAGTAAAAATATATAAGATCATCATGTAGTCTCTTTGGAAGAAAACACTCTATTAATAGCAAATGTGATCCCAATTTGTGCTAACCTAATACTTCTATTAAACTACACAGTGCAGCCAGACCCACCGCTTGGCCTTAACTGGACTTTGCTGAACATCAGTTTGACGGGAATTCATGCTGATATCCAAGTGAGATGGGAACCTCCAGCCAGTGCAGATATTCGTAAGGGATGGATAATCTTAGAGTATGAACTTCAATACAAAGAAGTAAATGAGACCCAGTGGAAAATGGTAAGGAGTTACTTATCACCCAAAAATCCTTTGACTTCATTCTATTTCCACAACCCTTCTTTTCACTTACAATTAGACCTTTTTTTTAAAATTTATTTTTTATTTTATTATTTTTTTTGTGTGAGTGTACCGTCAAATCAGATCTGACTGGTACAGGAGGAGATTGTCCCTCCTTCCCCGGCAGAGCATCTGGTGGATAGACCTTTTTTTAACATAATGCTTCATGTCCACTTTATTTGTGCCACAATTTTGTATATAAATAAAACTAACCTCACTGGTAAAACATCATCTAAGAATTCTCTCTATAATACCAAATGCGTATATGGATATTGTATGGGAACCTGCAGAAGGAAAGAAAGCCACTTGCTCCATCATGCCCAGTTTCTAGCTGTCTTCGTTTTCTAGGACTACCATGACAAAATGCCTCACAGAAAGTTTAGTAACTTTTAAAAACAGAGATGTACTATCTTTTGAAGATTCGTTCATATTGTTAATTGCATCCAGTTAGAAATAACACATAGCAGACCCTCCAGTGGGTTTTCAGAGGCTGAGAACTGTGAAGGAAGAGATTGCCCATCCCTCTCCCACAGAGCAACTGATGCATTCCAATCACTGGCCTTTGACCTGGCAGCACTCTGGTGACCTTGTAGTAAGAAACTGCGCTACAATTCCAAAAAGTACATGATTTGAATCACCCACCAGTTGCTCCATAGGAGAGGGATGGGCTGGCTCCTCTCATGTGATTTATTGCCTCATAAAACCCACTGGGGGATCAGCTAAGAGTCCAGTCGGTGGCACACAACAGGCCATCAGAGTTCCCTCTCAAATTAAAGGGCCAGATGTACTTATTTCTCCTGAGATTTTTTTTGGGGGGGCAGGGGGGAACTATTTTGTGCCTCTCTCCTAATTTCTGGTAGCTCCAGTCATCTTGGAGTTGCAATGTCATATGACATACTTTTCTCCACTTCCTCCTCTTTTTTTTCTTTCTTTATAAGGACATCTCTCAGATGGGATGAGGAAATACCCTGTTTATGCTTGACCTCATGTTAACTCTACCAATAAATAACATCTTCAAAGAGATTATTTCCAAGCAGGGACAGGTTCACAGGTATAGGAATTGGGACGTTGACATCTCCTCATGGGGTTCAGGATTCAATGCATAAAAGCAGTGTAACTTTAGAGAAAAATTGTGGATGGTCTGAGGAATTGACTAAGCATGAGAAAGGTTATCAAAACCAACAGTGGCAATGGTGAAATATTCTCCCATGGTTTTAGTTGCTGCTGTTCACAAGGAAGGCCCATGTCATAAAAGCTTAAGTGGCTCCAACAGGGCTTTATCCCTTAGAGGTTTTAGAAAGCTGCTTTGCTATATGTCTCAAGGGACAACCAAGCTGACAGGTTCTTACATAGACAAATAAAGAGTGTGGAACTAGTTGACCTCAGAACCTCTCATAATAATTCTCCTTGCCAAATATTTGGGAACTCAACACTCAGATAATTTCCACATGGCACACAACAAGAAGAAAAACAAGATTGTCATGCCAATCCCAATATAACAAATTCTAAATCAGTCTAACCACAGCCAAAGCTCTGGCTAATCCAAATAGTTTCTGGCTAATTATCATGTTGTGCCTGGTAGCCTGGCATAGGCTTGCCACCAGAATTTTACACACCATTCCCTGTCTAGTCAATGAAAGAAAATAAAAGAAGCCAATTTTGTCATTGGGGGGCACTTGGGGCAGGGAAATGTTTAGTGTAGCTCTGAACAGTTATAAAACCAGAATTTTCAGGTTCTGTTTTCTCAACCATATTACTTTAGATATCTGTTCTGTACCTGGTAGGGGATGGGGGAAGAAATAAGTATTATTAAATATTTATTCACTACCAGGTAGCTGCTGAACACTAAACACTGTGACACCGATGCATCAAAAGTGATAATGGTAAACACATGGTGGACAGTGTTTGGTGGAGCTCCCTGATTAAAACCGGCTTGGAAGCAGGAGTGGCATCCCCTTCCAAAATAGCTTGCCTCTGGAAACTATGAACTTGGAGAAACTATGAAAGTGATGCAATTGTTGAGGTCTTTTGTTCATAGGGTCACTATGAGTCATCTACAACTTGATGGCACTTAACAACAACCACCACCAGGTATTTAAAAAACTACTATGCACTGGGCACTGTGCTAGGCATCTTAAAGCAATACTTCTCAAGTTCTGAAGACCCGTTCAGAGAGTCCACAATGTCCTAAGTGTTGTCTTGATGATATTCAAGTATTATTCTCTTTTACATTGTGTTGGAAATTGCATTAATGCTTGTTGTTGTTGTGTACCGTGGAGTTGACCCTGAGTGGGTTTTCAGAGGCAATTACTGGAATGAGAGTCACCCATCCTTCTCCCGCGGAGCAGTTGGTTGGATTCAAACTGCATGCCTTTGGGATTATAGCGCAGCTTCTTGCCATAAGGCCACTAGAGCTTCCTGCACTAATGGTACAAAAGCAGTAACTGCTCACACTCCTGGTGCCCTGCCATAGCGCAGTGCAGTGGCACCACACTGACCTGTCAAGTCAGCCTGACTCGTAGTGGCCCAGCCACTGTGAAAAGAAATTCTGTCCAGCCTAGCACCATCCCCATGACCAGTTTTGGAATAGACCCTTGTGTTCAATGGCATTTTCCTTAGCTGATATTCAGACTGTTTATTTTTTTCTTTCTATACTGTCTTAATCTGGAAGCTCTGCTGAAACTTGTTCAGAATTTTCATATCCTATTACTGTCACAGAAATATCACAACTGAGTAGCTTTAAAGGACAGAAGTTTACTTGCTGACAGTTCAGGAGGCTGGAAGTCGAAATTCAGAGCTGAGTTCTAAGGACGCTTCTTCTTTGACTGTTACACCTCTAGTAGCCAGTAATCCTTGGTTCCTTGGCTGTCTTCACGTGGTATCTGTCTTCTTCCTATTGGTGTTTCCTTGCACCAATAACTCAGGCATGAGTGATTAGGTTTAGGACACCCTTTAAACTGAAATGACCTCATTAATGTAATGAAGAAAAAACTATTTCCAAAAAGATTATACCACAGGCACAGGACTTAGAAATCCAAAACACAATTGACTGTGTTGTTATGTGCCATCAAATTGAAACTGATGCACAGCTGACCCTCCAGAAAGTTTTCAGATGTTATAAATCTCACAACAGGAAAGTGCCTATCTTTCTCTCATGGAACAGCTTGTGGGAAACCTTCTTTGGATTGGCAGCCCAACTCTTTTACTCACCAGGCCACCAGAGCTTTCTAACATATAGGTTAGGGGGATACTGTCCAGTCCTTGACAGCATCACAGGAGCATGCAATTCTCCACTAAGCAAATAGGTAACCACATATGAAATGCACTGACAGGGAATCAAACTTGCCTGGAAGAGGCATACACTACCATTGAACCACCAGTGCTGCTAGTTCGAGAATCAATGCACCATGGTGCATTGACGATCAGTGTATTCTTTACCCTCATATAGTAACAGTAAAGAAAGAAATAAAAGCTAGTTTCATGCAAGAATATCTTTGATAAGGCTATAAAATTTATTAATTTAGTGGAATGTTCTCCTTTGCTTGCATAGCTTTTTAAAAATCTGTGTGACACATGGATTACACTGAGGCACTGATAGAAACTTCAGTTTCCTAGTGATTTGTAGACCTTCCTAATGAGACCAATGAAGATATTAACAAAAGTGACATTTAATATACTGTCTAATAGAATGCAACATCAGGCTAGATGTGTCAGAGATTGTGAGGATGGCATAGATCGGGTAAGGATCAGCTGTGCTGTTTATAGAGTTGCTATGAGTCATACCGATGGCAACAACAGCAATATAATAGAACATGTGCATGTGGAAAATCTCCTTAACTCTCAAAATTGAGGTATGTTTAGAAAATCTGCATAACTTAATGAACCAATATTTTCCAGATGACTAATAAATAAATAATGTTAAAAATTACTCATCAGGGGAAAATTCAAGATGGACCAATGGATTTTAACGTAACAGAATACAAAAGTTCACTCAAAGGATTTCGGATTCCCCAGTGAAAGTAACCTTTAAGGAACTTTCATCTGCTGAATCTTGATGTAGTATTAAGAAACCTATATAGGAACAAGGTATACACTAGGGGAGAAAAAAGTTAAGGTAAGGTTTCGATAAAATGGATACAGTCATTAAGGGTTGACCAGGATAGGAAAGGAAAGAGAGGGGAGCAGAGATTAGGGGATGGATGGGTAGAATGAATGGAAGGTGAAGGTAAAGAGGATTTGATAAGAGGTTGTAATAAATGGTGTGGTTGTGTTCACTGTTGAATTGGAACTGACTCATAACTGACCGTCCAGTGGGTTTTCAGAGACTATAAGTCTCCCAGGAGAGACTGTCCACCTTACTCCCATGAATCAGCTGGTAGATTCAAATCAGCTGTGTGACTTTGGGTTGGCAGCCCAACTTTTGACCCACTAGGGCCACAAGTGCTCCCCAATAGATGGTATTGGTCAATAATAACTGATGTTATAAAACAAAATGTATATGTGTGACTCTTTGAAAACCAATTTTAATAAGAGAAAATAAAATAATATCTAAAATAACCTAAAGCACTTTTTTTAGAAATATCACTTCTTGTCTCTATATATACCTATGTGAGGCTGGATTTATTCATATGTTTCAACTAAAACAAAACATCCTAACATTTAAGGTAAAGCATATATAAAAGTATGACCATCACCTATTCAGTCAGACATGAAAGAGATTTGTAAAACTGCAGATCGTTGCCACTCTTCTTGTTTTTATTGTTTCAGAAATACAGTAATTTTTTTAGAATATTATTTAAACTTTACATAATAAATTATTTTTATTAATGCTTTTTTATTTGTTTCCATTTCTAAAATGATACATAGTCATAGCCATATACAGCCAAAGCTTTTTAGGCTCCTGGGTGATGTCAGTAAGTTTGTTTTTATTTAAAAAAATTATT